CCAGCCCCTGCCTGTCGGGGTGTCTTGCGGCGGGGCAAGACAGCAGCAGGGCACGGGCTTCCCAGGCTTTGGGGTGGGAGATCTCGGAGCTTTTCCCACAGAGGTGTGACACCGCTTTTTAAAACCTCAAATTCGGGGTTATCAAGGACACTTTGTGTCCTCCGGGGAGAGTTTCCACCTCTCCTTTCCAAAGGCTACAGGCGACAGGTTGAAAACCACCGCTGGAGGGGCAAGGAAGCGATGGAAGAAAACCCCAGGCAGGCAGGACACTGGTGAATAGTTCCTCTGCCTCAGCATGAGTCCCAAATTACAGTGAATGGGCTCAAGTTCCTTGCAGTCTGGTTCTGCTCCGCTGTGGAAAAAATGTATGTATTTCCTATCACTGGCATTCCAGAAGGGCACAATGCCCGTTATGAAATTCAAGCCACGGGTCTTACTGTCGTTTCTGACCCTAATAAAACACGCAGAGCTATGCCTTTATGCTGCACTGCAAAGATGTTCCCTTGTCCTGAGCCAGCTATTTTGCGTCCTGCAACTGTGTCTGTGCTGAGTTCTCCCCATTTAATTTGGAAATATATGGTCTTACACATCTTCCCAGATCAATCAGAAATTAAGCCCTCGGCGAACATTATTCCTCAGCCATAACGATGTCCCGTGCCTGGCAGATTATTTTATCTCTTCTAATACCCCACTTAGCTTTCTGTGCATGGTAATAGTTCAACAGGTTATGCAATTCCAAGAGGGGTTAATGGATCAATTGCGATAAGTTATCTTTGCAGGGTTCTTGAAATCAATAGGTGTGCGCTAGTTTGCATTTGGGGAAGGATTAGTGGCTGTTAAGGCTGGGGACCTACCTGCAGAACACCCTACCAAGATACTCTCTTTTAGTGGTACACATTAGATACCTGCAATGATCTCCAGTGGAGATGGTAAAATTGCCCCTTTTACTGGTAGGAGCATGCCAAGCAGCTCGTGACTAAGCACAAACCCACTTCATCCCTGCCCAAAAATTACTAAATCGTTAAGACGTCCTGCAGGACAAAGGTAGCATGCTGTGGTGTAAAATGCTCCTTGGGAGGTGGGCTGAGTGTGGCCAAAGCTTTCCCAACAGCCTGTGCTTTACCTGGACAACACAATGCAAAGAACTAGCTGTAAGGTGACTGGGTTCTCATCTCGGGGTGGGGGACGTGGACCTGTGGCAAACTACAGCCTGGCTGTAATCACTGTGGGGAGCCTGGTCCTGGTAGATCCCATCCACATGTTATTGTAAGCTGTGGGTACCTGTGGGTGCAGGTATTTACATGCGGCATGGAGAAAGGGAACCCACCGACTTCCTCCATGCCTCCCTATTGTTTCCATGTAACTGACTACCATTTTCTTGCTACAGGAGAAGCTCTTATCTCCTCCCTCCATGCCAACCATACCTAAGCACATGCTGTGTGTTTGTAGGAGGACAAGTTGATGCCAGCGTGTAGAATAGACTGCCACGTCTCTGATCTGCAGCCCTTGTTCTGTAGTATTTCCAACAGAGGAGCAAAAGCATGGAGGCAGATGGAAATGGGGTGAATAGAGAAGAGTCTGATGTAGCAGAAGGCATTCAGAGACCTCCCAATTTTCAGCCCGGTACTAGTATCCCATGAAGAGGTGCTGCTGCCCAGTGGCTGATTCCTACCCCTGACCTCCCATGTTCCAAGCCCACCCCAGAACCCGCTTTTCCATAATTCCTCCCAATCCAGCAGCTTGCAGGGGGGTTTACAGCCCAGCTCGCTCATTTGCTTCAGGCTCGGAGCACGTCCAGCTTGCTCATGTGCTCTGGCATCAGAGCAATGCGTGCCCTGAGCTGCGCGTGATCCCGAGCTAAGCAAAGCACGGCTGTGTCTGCGGTGCCTGTCCTGGGCAAGTGAGCAAGTTCAAGGAGCTTCTTTGGCAGCAGGACACTAGCCTGATACACGATAGCCCTCAACGACAACTGGGAAAGAAGGATCGACGGACTTGCCATAATTCACAGAAAAGGGAGCTTGGGCAGGAGAACAACTCCTGCTTCTAGGAACAGTCGGGCGAAGCGGTCTGTCACCCTGCAAGGCGAGCCAGGCAGCCCCAGGCAGGAGCCCCCGGTACTGGGTGGGTTTAGGGGTGACAGACATCCGTGGGGTAAGAGGCAAAAGTCACCTCTCTTCTAGATTCGCTGTTAGACCAGTCCTTATAAAATTCAGCCAATGTTCTCGTCAGAGAAATTGGAGAGAGGCAGAGGGTTTTACAATTCCTTCCCTCCCAACCCCCATGCCTTAACCCACAGCAAATACTGTGAACAGTTTTTACACGTGCAACTTTTTAATTCCCCTAGCAGCTCTAGCGCCCTACTGCTTTACTGCCTTTGCAGATTTTATATTAAAACCCAGAAAACAGATAGGAAAAATGTATTTTTTTCCATTTACATCTGAGTTACGAACTCAAAATAGCCTTATTTCATAGAACTTAGAAATACTAGCGGGTTTGAAGCTTCCTTTAAAGAACAAAGGAAGCCAAATAATGCGGCCCAGAGGCTGTTGCATATAATTCTCGTTAGCAACAATTTCTGCTAGCTGTTCAGGGGAGTACGGTTCTTGGTCTCAGAGCTTAAATGACTTAACCAGACTTTTTACGAGGACACAGTATCTAGCAACTCCAAGTGCAAAACAATGCAAGTTTCTAGACGCAAAGCTTTGGCTGCTGGTTGTTGTTGATCAGCAACTATTCAGGAGCTTTTATAAAATGCAGATGTGATCTCAGTCCTTTCTCTAGGAAACAAAAACAATGAGGTTTCAGCCTGGCCTTACTAGCAAGTAATGAGAATTACCATCCTATCGACACAAGTTTGCCGTCTCTAGCAAAGCCTGTAACCACCTTCAAAAGCAGCTAAGGTGGGTTCAGGACTCCTGGATTGATGGCAAGGAGTTTTATAGCTACTTTAGTCATCTCGGACAAATAAAGAGTAGGGATTTGAAAAGCAGCATCTTATACTTAAATGGGGGGGTTCCCCCTGTATAGGCAGACAAACAAAATCGATTTAAAAATATAGAGAAAAATTAGATATAAGTTTTTAGAGGAAAAGTAGATCAGACATCTGAGGTTTCTTACTGCTAAAAAATTGCAGAAATCGCAGGTAAAGAAAGTACTTAACAGCCTCCTTACCTGAACAAAACTTGTCAGCAATCTTTTAAAGTAAAGAGGTCACCCTTTTACTCATTTTATCTCAAATCACTGAGTCTCCTGGTAACAGGAGAAAATGTGTGAGGCCTTTAAATATAGCCTCCCCAGTTCTTGGAGGATGAAAGATGGGAACGAGAAGGAGTTGTCAATTGGGAAGGACTGGCCTCATCATCTTCCAGGTTTCATGGTTTCTCTGAGATTTGTGGGTTGTGTCCCTTTTTTTCTTTTTTTTTTTTTTTTTTTTTTAGCAAGCTGTTATTTTGGGCAAGGGAAGATGTTAAAAATAGTATTCTCCTGGATCTTGTAAATCTGGGTGTGTTTACACATTGTAGATTAGATTAGTGAGATTCTAGAGGTGGGTGACCTGTACTGCCTAAAAATTAGCTTTTTTAAAAAGGAAAATAGGAAGTACTTTTTTAATACATGTATTTATTAGATAAAAAGTGCGTTTTGCTACGCTCTATTTTCTGTATGAGCCATGCTCTGCTCTATGTGTAATTATCTGCTAGAATGCATACTCTGCATGTGTTTTTAGTTAAAATTTCTTAAAACACGGTCTTAAAGTCTGCATATTTTCAGCCTAGTCCTTTAATAACTCACATAACTTAGCATGTGTCCGTTGTGCATGTGGAATATCTATTTATAATATATATTTTCAATGATGTAGCTTAGAGATTTTGGTAGCATATGTCATGACTAATATTTCTTTTAATTTTTTGCCATTGAATATGATAAACTAACACATATCAAGACGTTCTAGTTTTACTTTTTAACTCTAAAAAATAAGGTTTGTGTAGCATTTTGTCGGTGGACTATAAATGAAGGGAGTTTTTTTTTCTTCTTACCGCTTTTTTCAGTGTGGCAATTAATGGTAAAAAGTGAACTGGAGAACAGTTGTCTGGGAAAAAATGTTGTAGCATCTTCTTACTCTTTATTCTCAGATTCCAATTATCCTCACGTATGTCATGGTATAGGTCTCAAGGACACCCAGCCAGAAGAATGGTACCTTATACCACCTGCATGATTCCCTCCCTGAGTGGCCAAGGGGTTTCTCATATGGAAGCGTTTGTGGTCTTTTCCCTTTGATCATCTTTGTTGCACGATGAGGCTGATCACAGCCGGGATAACAGCCCGGGCTTTGTCGGAAAGTGCGATATAGTAGGCCTTCTTAGCAGTTTCTATGCAAACACTTTTTTCCCTAGCTCCCGCTTGTGCATGTAAACTACCCTGCAAACAATGAAACACTTAAGTGATGTGCTTTTGTTTATTTAAATAATTTTCTGTGTCTGTTTAGGACTTGTTCTTGGTAAGTCCTACTTTGAAGGCCCAGAGTTTGCTTTCAAATTGTGTCTGACTTACAGCTTGGTACTAATGGGGGTATAATATATGTGCACTTTTAGTGGAACTCTTCACTGCGAGACCCACAAAGCAGTACCTGACCTCCAAAGGCCTCATCTTGACCCACTTTTCCAGCACTGGTACAGCACTTCTGCTTGATCCTTAGGAAAAAACGTGAGGACAGGGAGCAAAGGTGCATACCACTTGTGCGTGCAGACAGAATTAGGGAAATATTTGATGGCTGGGTCACTTATCCCTTCTGCTTCCTATAAACGCGCTGCGGCTACAACTGCGATAAAAGGGAAATTCCTAGCTATCCTTGATGCTCCTCCATTGCTCCTAGTAACACTGGAAAAGCCAGGCCACCGCTGGGCTTTGATCGTTCCTAGGGTACAGGAGGAATGCCAGCAGCTGCTCTGGATTATCTTCCTGCTGCTTCCAGCAGCTGTGGAGACGCACTCGCACCCTGCCGGGGCGCGGGGCCTTCCCCCCGGGCCACCCCGGTCCGTCCCCATCCCTGTGCCGCCTGGGAGCAGGCGCAGAGCTCCCGGGGCCACGGCATCGCCTTGAAGGCAGTCTGCCACAGCCCTTGCGGTGGGCGCTGTGGGCTGCCGGAGGGTGCTCTGCCAGGGACAGTGCTTGTACAAATAGCGAGCGCCCGCTCAGCAGTTTAAATTCTCCCCTCCCCCTCTTGTTTGGATTGTAGTAGCCAAACACTGCTGTGGCGGATGCCGTACCAGAGGCAGTGGCCACGCAGGAGAGTTTGCCCTCTCCGCAGCAGAGGGAGAGGAGAGGAAGTGAAATCTCACAAGACGAGAGCCAAAAATTAGCCAGGCTGTTTATACACCACCGCCGTGTTTCCTATGGCACAACGGGAGGGTGGCCGGCGCTAGCAGTATGGCCCCTGAAATGGGACATTTTTTGCCTTTCGAGGTCCATTTCAGGTGCTGAGTCGCTGTGTTAGCCTCCAGGGAGTGCTACTGATGGGCTGAAAAGCCCTGTGGAGGAACAAAGGGAAAGAGATGCTGTGTTTGAAAAGGTAATCCTCCCAATCCTTTGAAAAGGTAATTCCCTGGTCCTTTACCAGTGTGGTTTACATAGCCACTGTCTCATCAGCCTTCTGTCTTTTGGTCACTATCCTGGTGCTCGAGTTCAGTGTTAGCAGGGCTTCCAACAAATCAAGCCACAAGCCCGCTTATTCCCCCCCCTCCCCATCCCCGGTCTGTTTACTGATGTTATCGCTTTCTTCTATCAACAGTATCTCAGTTTCTGCTCTGGACTGCCTCTGCTATGGCACAGGCACAACCCTGGAGCTGGTGAGCACCCTCTCTCAGATCCCCGGGCAAAGGTCGGTGGCTGCATGGTGGCCTCTGGATTCCTCAGATACCGACCCCTGTCATGTGGGGAGGCGTTAACCTTCGGCCCTGAGTAAGCGTCCTCATATCTCACCTCATTTAGTCTGGCCTGCTATCTGATCTTCTCCAATATAAAGACCTCTCTCCTTTGGCATCCTGCAAATCTAAGCCCCATCTTGACAATTTCCAGTATGCCATCCACCCGATGCCAGTGGAAAATACCCTGTGCGTTGCGGCCAGCTCTGAGTAAGTGGTGGCAGAAGGGGCAGCCCGTAGGAGGTGGCCATGCCCTCACAGCCGCTCTCGCTTACAGAGGCAAGGGGTACGGAGGAGCCATGGTGGCTCCCTCTGCGTCAGCTCTCTTCCTTGCACAAAAGAAGGACGGCCACCACGGTAAGATGTTGGTACTGCCTGTGTCATGCCACTAAGGTGTTTTGGGGAGTTTGAGTGTTGTAGGGTTTTTTTCCTCTTGATTTGGTGCGAGTGACTCACTGAGAGGGCCATCCCCCGTGTGAGTCCCTTACTTTGAATCAGGCTCTTGGGGTAGCGTAAGAAGCATCACCAGGTCTCGGCACATTCCAAAAATATGAGATTTCTCTTGTCTCCTTTTAATACAGAGCTTGGCCAAGCTCACCTTGCCTCAGTGCACCACCTCTTTTCCAGCCGTCTCCCATGTTTACCCGAGAGCTCACCTCACACGTCTCCCTTGGGTCCACCACAGGGGCTTCACAGGAGGTCTTCTTAGTTCAGCTCTGACGCACCATCATTTTAATTGCTTCTGCTGGATAAACGGTTGTTTTCAGTGTTACCTGCTTTAAGAGCCTTGCTGACACCTTGTTTCTTTCCTTGCCTCCAGCAACAAGCAGACACATCTGACTAATTGCAACAGAGCCGCCCTGGCACCTTCTCGCCATCGGGATAGCGAACAAAACGCACAAGGTTTTTCCCTGGCGCACCACCCGGCAAATGGTCTTGAGATAAAATAGCAGGGAACAGCCGCTCGTGGTTTCTTTCCCTGAGCTTTTACTATCCAAAAGGGTGAAAGCAGCACAGGCTTGGAGACGTGGGTCCCAAAAGCGGCCAGTCCCCGTTGATCGCAGCACTTCCCGCTTCAAGTCCCCACCGGGGAGGCTCTTCCTTTGAAGTACATCTCACTTGGGCCAAAGCCAATGTCAGGAGGAGGAAACTATTAGCTTGTAAAGAGAGCCCCGCGGGTTAAGTCTGACAGCCTGCTGGTTTCTTCGCTTGCAGGTATTTCCTGTGGATGCTTTCAAAATAGAAGTTATTGCGGGGTCTTGCTGGTGCCACCTGCTATTGGGCAATGCTCTCTGTAAGCAGGAACAGGGAATTGAGAAGAGTAGGCTTTAAAGCATCCCGTTGATGCATTTTAGCCTACCTGCATGCTTTTAAAAGTGTGCCAGAGTGCTTTAAAAGGCTAGATAAGCTCAGCTTTGCTCCTTTTCCTGAAGCTGTAGTGCCTGAGGAGCTCTCTGTGCTCTGACTAGGGAGAAGGGCAACGCTGTGGGGGAGCAGAGAAACGCTACCCAAGGAAGTGAAGTCCCCCTTCAGTGTCCGTGTGTTACGAACAGAGGTTTTATTGGGACTGGTGGGACTTACAGCTGCGTTTGACTCTTCATTCCACATTCAGTACCAAGTTGGCACACTGACCACAAGGTGTTTTTTCCCCACTCATTACCCTCTCAGTGGCCATTCTTTTTGTCTGCTTTGCAGCAGAGGTAAAAAAATTCTTTTTTTATCACCTGTTTTTCTTTTCCCACATCACCACTGGATTTTTCACGTTCACATGAACATTGGCAGATTGGGAAATCTGCTGACGTATTGTGAAACATACTCATCGTATTCTGCCAAACTGTAGCAGCCTATCGCTTGTCTTCCATAACACCTTGCCCATTTGGACTTCACTGTTGCCTTTATTCAAGCTTATGCCCAAATAGCTGCCTTTTATAAAAGGCCTGTCCTTCTACCCCACCACTTTTCCATGCCTCGTGTCATCTTGTGCAACGAGGCAGTGCGATGTTAAACCTCCTCTCTCTGAGGCGTTGTGTAGCATCTCTGCAAATCAAACGGTAGCGATCAACTTTGGAATTAGGAAATGGAGGCAGACGAACAATTCCTTCCTTTGCGTAAGACTGGAAAAGCAGTCGGGGCAGAGCTGGGGCTAGAACCCAGAATAAGTCATGGGGCTGCCTGTCATAACAAGAAAGGAGAGCTTGCAGCAACTTATTTTTCTGAGATCATTTATTAAATCTCCTGTAATTAGTTTAGTAAACAGTTATAGGTGGGAAACAAAGGACAAAATGTTCTCTTCCGGCTTCCATAGGTTACTTGGTACCTCTCATAGCTATAAGGGATTAATGGTGGCCCTAGGGTGGGATTGTACCGTAAAAATTTTATTAAATGTTTTAAAACCAATTAAAGGGACATTGCCAATTTGAGCTTTTTAAAATTTTGCAAAGTAAATTTTTTTCCATTGTTGTCAAAGCACCTTTGAAGTGCTAAATCCTGACATTTTAAATCATTTCAAAAACATAGCTACATATGCTCTGCTGATGCTGGCTCTATAATGTGACGGCTGTTCAAGTAGTTATACACAGTACTGTTGTGGGAAGACAACAAATAGAATGCTCCAAAGTGGAAAATCATTTTTCCTAGCTTCCTTCATTTACAGAAGTATTTTAAATCCTACTTGTAGCCTCAGTAAGTGACATTTTAAACAGGAGGGTCTGAGTTCTCCTACCAATTTGATGATGTCTCTTTCGGATAGTCCTTCCTGAAAACTATCAAGTCTTCAAACTGAGAAATGAGAAAATATTTTTGTGAGCATAATAATAATTATTAGATAGTCGATATACCTGAATTTCCTGAAAACTGGCTTTCATGAAAAGCCAAGCTGCCATTTTGGGTATATTGTTCTGCTTATTGTAGACAGGGGTGTAAAATGTCTTTTTTTTTTTTTTGCCATGGAGAGCTTTCAGCCTGGATTTTCAAGGAACAAGCAGCCCTGTGAAAGGAAAAGGCTCTGCAGGTCTCAGTGTTCAGGGTAGAAAGGAGACAAGTGGACATAGATGCAGTCACAGTTGGCCTTTGCAGGTAACGATGTACTTGCACCAATATAAGAAATATGTGGAGGAACTACAGGAAATCATTGATGCTGCGCACAGGATTTGCCTTGAGTTTCTTGCAGCACAGACAAATAGACAGAGTGGGAATAAAAAATTGGAGGCTGCCAGAGCCCTGTGGTCTCCTTATCTTCTTCATAAGGTGCAAACCTATCCCTTGGGATATATACTTGGAAATAAGATAAGCACTCCTGAGGTTACAGAGTCTGCTGAGTGTGGAATAAGATAAAGTAAAGAAGAGCTTTTTGGACTAGATAACTTTGTTGTGACAGTTTTCTTCACATTTTGAAGCAGAAGCAGAAATTACTTTTGTTGGGATCAATCAAAATGAAAAGTGCGCACACTCTTTTAACTGTCTCCTTTCTCACCAGGAAGCAGCTGATTTCATCCACTCTTTATTCCCTGCTTATGTTTATTCCTTGCCAGGTCCACACGTGTCTCTTAACAACTGAAAAGGGATTTGGAAGTAATCGTGATTTGAACTCCTTGCTCTTTAGAAAGGAGCCTGCCAGGGCACCTCTCGGGCTGCTGTAGCATCCTCTGAAGGACAAAAGCATCTCCTTGACACCTAAAGTCCTTTGGATGTGGTCTGCCTCTGTCTCTGAAAGGACAGCCAAAGCGAGGCCAGCAATATCATGCCCCTCCTGTCCAGCCCGCTTACGGGATGCTCTCAGTGCCCATCCTCAACTCTGCACGTTGCAGAAGGTAGACACCTCCCTGCAGTGTGCCTGGTGACCTCTTGTACACTTGCAGGGCTTGATGGTGCCCCTGGGGACCCAGCCAGGCTGGGGGTGAGCGACCCTTGGCCCGCCGTCACCTCCTGGACTCACAGCTCGTTGTTCGCCCGCAGCTGGGACCCAGCAGCCCCTTTTTTGGGCTCTGTTTTGTATATATCCTCCTTGCCGTAGCACTTCATCTGAAGTGACTAACACTCATGGTTTTTCTCTGCTCTTTCCCCTGAGGAAGGCGGGGGGAGACTCGTGTGGGCAGTGCAGTATTCCTGCTTCGGTCTGGTTATTTTAGAAACAAACTTAAAAACATATGTTCATTTCAGTTCGTTTATGTGA